GAAGGGGTACGTGCACCCCGATGTTTATAGCAGCAATGTCCACAATAGCCAAACTATGGAAAGAGCCACGATGTCCATCAACAGATGAATGGATAAAGAAGATGTGATAGGTATATACAATGGAATATTATGCAGCCATCAATAAATCTGAAATCTTGGCATTTGCAACGACGTCGATGGAACTAGAGGGTATTATGCTAAGTGAAATAAGTCAATCAGAGAAAGACATATATCACATGATCTCACTGATAGGAGGAATTCTTAATCTCAGGAAACAAACTGAGGATTGGTAGGCAGGATGGGGTGGCTGGATGATAGACATTGGAGAGGGTATGTGCTATGGTGAGCACTGTGAATTGTGTAAGACTGTTGAATCACAGACCTGTACCTCTGAAATGAATAATACATTATATGTTAAAAAAAAAAAAAAACACGATGGAGGGAGGGGAAAAATGAGGAGGGGGAAATCGGTGGGGGAGAGAATCCATGAGAGACTACGGACTCTGAGAAACAAACTGAGGGTTCTAGAGGGGAGGGGGATGGGGGGATGGGTTAGCCTGGTGATGGGTATTAAAGAGGGCACGTTCTGTGTGGAGCACTGGGTGTTGTGCGCAAACAATGAATCATGGAACACTACATCAAAAACTATTGATGTATGGTGATTAACATAATAAAATAAAATTTATAAAAAAAGAACTACCATATAATCCTGCAATTCCACCGATTTGGTCTCCCCCACCAATTTCCCCCTTCATTCCTCCCTTCCTACTATCTTCTTTTTTTTCTTTTTAACATATAATGTATTATTCATTTCAGAGGTACAGGTCTGTGACTCAACAGTCTTACACAATTCACAGAGCTCACCATAGCACATACCCTCCCCAATGTCTATCATCCAGCCACCCCATCCCGCCTACCAGTCCTCAGTTTCCTCAGAATATATCCCAAGAAAGTAACATTATATCAGAGAGACAGCTGCACCCACATGATCATGGCAGTGTTATTTAAAATAGCCAAGATAGGAAACAACTTAGGTGTCCAATTACAGATCAATGAATTAAGAAATTAGTGTGTGTGTGTGTATATAAAATAGACTACCGTGTACCATAAAAGAGAAGGAAATCCTGCCAATTGTGACAACATGGAATGACCTTGAAGACAAGATGCTAAGTGAAGTCAGTCAGACAAATAGCGTATGATCTCACCTATATGTGGAACCTAAAACAACACCTCAGAGGAAAGGACATCCAACTAGTGGTTACCATAGGTAGGGGGAATTGGAGGAAGGTGGTCAAAAGGTACAAAGTTCGAGTTGTAAGACAAGTAAGTACCAGGAATTTAATGTCCAGCATGAGGACCGTAGTCAACACTGCTGTATGGAACATATCAACGTTGTTAGTAGTAAATCCTAAGAGTTCTCATCACAAAGGAAAGATGGATGTTAATTACACGTAAGGAACCATTTGACAGCATAGGTAGATCAAATTGTGCTGTGCACTGGACATTCCGTGGTGCTACATCTCACTCCTAGCTCCATAAAACTGGAAACGGTAAAGAAATTGTTAATAAGAGTAGTACCCATTCATATTTTAAAGGGAAAAATAAGAACTCACCAAAGAAGGGATCCTGTCTCACCCTGAGCCAATCCAGGACCCTATAGATCTCAACGAAGTAATAACCAGCGACTGCCTCCCCCCAGCTAGCTCCGCAGGAAATCCCCTGTCTGATGTGTTAAGCCCTCTTCTCTCTCTCAGGGGGGCATTAGCCGAGTAGCCGTGCACGTCTGATTCAAATTGGACTGTTTCCTCCCTCAGGAGCATTCATCCCTCGGTGCAATGAGGAGGGCTATTACAAAGCCACGCAGTGCCACGGCAGCACCGGGCAGTGCTGGTGTGTGGATAAGTACGGCAACGAGCTGGCCGGCTCCAGGAAACAGGGCGCCGTGAGCTGTGGTGAGTAGGGCCCTCTGCGTCAGCCCCACAATGACCTCTGTTGACCGGCAGGTCTTGACCGTATAAAGATCTGGGCGGAAGAATCACGAGACGTATCTGTGGTCTACAGTGAACAGGTTTACAGTGGGGACGCATTAACCCTGAAATCACAAGAGATTAGGCATAGCTAGCTTTATGAGTGGCAGGAACTCACCGTGACCAGGGGATTGGATGACAGTTTTTGACAGAGAGCGACTTCGATAAACCTCCCAAGGTTCCACCCAAGAAGGCAGAAGCATCTGCAGACCTCCGGGGTTCACAGAGCTTGCAGCCTGTGCCATGCTGACTCACCCCTTCCAGGAGGAGACGCTCCCATATTCAGAGAGTAAATTGCATGCTTTCTGCCTGCACTTAAGTCACGTGCAGAGGAACCACTCCGATGGTCCAGAGGTATGAGCAGCAGCTAACCTCCTGTCTTTTCTTCCTCGTCCTCCTTTCAGAAGAGGAGCAGGAGACTTCAGGGGATTTTGGCAGTGGTGGCGCTGTGGTCCTGCTGGATGACCTAGACGACGAGCGGGAGCTGGGGCCAAAGGGCACGCTGGGGCGGCTGAGGGTGCGCACCCGGGCAGCGACAGAGGACGATGAGGATGGGGACGACGACAAGGACGACGAGGCAGGCTACACCTGGTAGGTAGTCCCCGCGAGGAAGAGGACCCGCGGCCTGCACGGAATTGCAAGTCACTTCCTGCTCCTGCGTTTGTATCTAAGACTCCACGGCACCAAGGCCTGTTCTCCACTGTTGCTCTCTGTGCGTGACCCGAGGCTTGGAAGACCGCTGCTTGTCCCCAGAGCATTCTGGTCTTGCATACAGTTGTGTGGGAAGAAGGGTGTGTGTGGCGTTTTGTTTTTTGAGGCAGGGGAGCGGCCGGCTCAGTTAAAGCCTCCTTCCCTCCCGTGAGGTTTTTGCAACAAGCATGCGATGTATGTGGGATCCTGACTGTGCAGGGAGCCCCCACCTTGTAGACGTCCAAGATGCTTTTCGATTACCCACACCAGTGGTCATTCCAGCATGGTTCCCGGCCTCACGGTGTCTAAGTGCTTTTCTTGTGTCCTGTAGATGTCGTGGAAAACACACCACACTGTACTTCCTTCTGCCCTATCCCCACCACCCCTCGTGTTAACAATTAAAAATTAGTTTTTCATATCACTATCTGGCTTCCTACAAACAACAGCCTTAATTCAGTCAAGAGTTCCTCCGGGGAATTGATTTTCTTTATTAACAAGGGTGTCTGGATGCTTCTCTGTACGTGCATAAAGATGTCTGTGTGTACAGAGTAGACTGTGTGTACAAGACCACACACACACACCACTCAGAAAAAGCGCTGCAGGATCTTCTAGAAACTCATTTGAAAAACAGTTATAAATTTGTCAGCTGTCCAGACCTGGATCACAATTTCTGCAATAAGAAATCTGTATCAGAAGTCCTTCCTTTGCACTAAGAGTTAGCACTTGTAGCCTGCATGCTGAGGAGGTTCCTTTCCCTATGCATTAGGAGGGTCACCGGAAGCCCTTTGATTTGGCTAAGCCTCTGTCCGCCTAAATCACTTTCTTTGCAGAAGCCATGAGACTCCCACATGGGCAGCTTCACAAGCCATCTTTTTCATTTCAGCTCAAAGCATTTCCGCCCCCACCCCCACCCCCAGGGCTGTAGCAATCCTGTCCACCACAGGTTCTTACCTTCCCTGCCGACACAAGGGCTTTTCCTAAGGCATGGATACACATCCCCTGCTCCCTGAGATGACAATACCAGTGTTCCTTAGCAGAAGAAAATTCAGGATTCTTAATCTCGTATTTTGCTTTTGCCCCATTTCTATCCACAAATCGTAGTGAGGGTACACAAGCTGTACAGATTTTATACCACTCATCGTTTATTAAAAAAAAATCCCAAGGGGAGCCTAAAAAGAACTTCATCATAGCACCTAAAAGCTAGGGTTGGATTTCTAAGAGCTACTCCTTCCCCCATCCCCATACCTGCACCAGTGTCAGGATGCTAACCAGTGTTTCTTTTCCCTAAGTAAGCTCATGATTACAGTCTGTCTCTGAATTTGGTAGGGTCAGCCTCTCTGTTGTTTTAAGGATTTCTGTCCCTATCAAGCTGGCTCAGATATAAGCACCAAAGAGTAGTCTTCAGAGTGGCCCCATTTAGTTCAGTACTTCAGACCCTTAAGCTCCTGTCCTACCTGGTTTCCAATTACCTGGTGACCCTCATCAGCCCCCCAGCAAGGCTCTGTGGCCCACATCGGTTTATCTTCCTTTCCTCCTGAGCTCCAGCCTGTCCACAAGACAACCACATAAACTCAGGCAAAAAAATATACTTAGCCAAACCATGGTCGAAGTGGCAGCTGACCAACACCTACCCTCTCAAATTGACCATATCTTTGTATTTTACCAAGCTGCCTTCAAACCAGCATTTTGCAATCCTAGCATTGGCCATGGTGGCATTATTCCTAGACTTAGTCTCAGATGGGAAATGAACATACGTGATACAATCAACTTCTTTGTCCTGATAGACACGGGTACCACCAGGACCCTAGGTAGAGAGAGAACAGAGGCAAGCTCTGTATTGGGATGTCAACTCCATCACCTCTCTTTCAATTGTTTTTCCCCACTTGAACCAAACACTGAGATGGTAATTTAGAAAACAGGTGCTTAATTGCAGCTAAGTTATAATCGAGTGTGTAAAAGAATCAAGACATATTAAAAATTTTCAGTTTAGACCATCAAAGAAAACCATCGTTACTGTCTCCTCTGAGCTTGGAAAAATGCACAAGAGAACAAATTAAAGGCGACAAATTGATTTCACTTAGAAAAACTTCTAGGAACAGAGAACCACTGATTCTAATTTGCCTAATTATCTTATGACAAGTGTCAAATTAAGATGACACTTAAAGATTCTTAGCATTAACTTAATGGTGGAGAAGAGAGGGCTCAGCAGTCAGTTCCCAGTAAGGTAACGAGATGCTCATTTTCAAAGATATTCTAGGAAGATGTTTTGAAGCATTAAAATAGTAAATAAAAAGCCCGCCTAAGACTGGTACCCCAAATCAATGGAACATTAACACCACTTTTCATGCCTCACTTTGGCGTGACAGCATTAGATTTTTAAAGGGCTTTACTACTTTTCACAAGTACTAAAGATTCGATTTTCTAGTTACCTTATCCTTAGAAGTAGAATTTGCGATTTCCTCTTTTTGGGCAGGAGTCCTTTTGCTAGCAACTAACTATACATAAAAATCTTGATTAAACAAAAATAATACCATGATAATCCATCCCCATTTTTGAGACAGGTATTGAACTGAATCCTCACTCACTCATGTCTGGAAACTCCCTAGTAAATGGCTTTATTCTTATTCCACACATGGTTCTTTAATACTGTTTCCTCAGCATCCACCTTAAATCCCAGAATTTTCTTCCACCATGGTTAGTTGTCTGCCATACTAATGTCTTTTTGTTTCCACAGATATTCTAGGCATGGGAATACCTTACTACTCAATCTGAGATTTTGTTATCAGGTTCCCCTTTATGCCCATTTCCCCACGCCCAGCAGCGAATGACTATGTGTCTGTCCAGGTCTGCCCCTCTACTTTTCGCAGAATGCCAGTCACACTTTTTTTTCCCCCCCACCTTGACCACATTGTACAGTAACATCTAAGAGCCCTTTCTACAGTGGGTGGTTTTGGTCTTTTTATACCTTTTTCTCAAAGTCACTGATGTTTGTCCCTGTTCAATGTGTAGCATTGTAATGAGAGCCCACCAAATCCTCAGTGTCATTTTGTTGTCCCTACTGTAGATGAAATAGTGATGTAGAAAAATCTAGTAAATTCTGAATGCTTTTCCATGTAGACTTCTCTGGAATGTGAACACGACTCTTTGGTTAATAGTAAATGCTTAACTGTAGTCCTGAGTAGGTGCATTTCTGTCTGTCTCAATAAATTTTGATTTGTCTGCAACACCTGAGTGTCAGTATTTTCTTAGCCTGCATGTCATCTCACCAAGCCATGTCCACACTCAAACTCTGGAGAACAAACAGCATGGGCAGACAGAGGGGACTGCCGGTACAGACCCCTCCTTCAAGGCTCCTGTACGTGGCAAAGGAGGTAGACCAGCTGGTGGTCCACCTGTCTTGGCCCCTCTCAACACACCCCGTGCCCACGCAGTCTAGAACCACATCACCGAACCCTTGTGTTTGCTGCTTTCACCTCTGTGAGGCTTCCACTTTGTTACTTCGTGTTTACCTATCAGATTTCTGTGTTGTCATCCTGTTGACAACCTTAAGCTTTTCTTCCCTCCCATTAGTTATTCTCCAATTCTCCTAAAAAAAAGAAAAAGAAAGAAAGTTCTCCTTTACAGGGGATTCTGAATTTTCCAGAGGCTTGTCAAACATCAGAAAGCCCCCAAACTGGAAAAGGAATTATTTCCTTTCCAGCTTTAGCCACATTCAGGCCAGTGTGCCTATGACTTAATTATACCCTGAGTGAGTCATTTCAGCAGAAGCTGAGGCAGACACCTTCTTATGAATAATTCTGTTCCTTTACCCCATGGAATAGATTTTACAGACAATTTGTAGATTGACAGTTCAGGGAAAGGTGCTTCACAAGTCCACGAAATAACTAATGTCAGGAGAACAATGACCAATATGAAGCCTCCAGGATCCATTAAAGGAAAGTTGGCATTTGTGGATACTCTCCAAATTCATCTCAAATCAGCACCGTTGTGCAGGTCAACTATTCCACTTCTCCTCCAGCTTTGACTTCACAGATGCCACGGGGGTTCGTTTCAAGGTCCAGGACCAAAACAAAGGAGAACCTGAAGCCAGGGTTCCAGCTTTGGTAATACAGTGTAAGCAAAAAGGTCACTGCCCCTTCTCACAATGCTCTCACTCATTTTAAGATGTGCTTGGGCAAACTGATTCAAGGAAAGAGGAAGATTTTAAAATGTATTCACTCCGCAAGCCTTTATAGATTTATTAGCAGATTTATAGATTTATAGATGAGTACGTGTTGGATTGATGAATGCCACTATGGACAGGCACCACATTAAGTTCTAGGAATATGAATATGACTAAAACATGGTTGCTGCTCTGTAAAGTTACCTCCTTGATAATTTCGCTGGCCCACTTCTCTTTGACTTTACCTGCTTTCTCTGGACAGTATTATGTATGCCACTGGTTTCAACCATCTCCTCTGGGAAGCCCCCAATCTATAGCCTGAGTGTACATTTTGACTCCCACTCCATTCTGAGGCATCACCTGCTATTTACATAATTCTACCTGAATTTCCCACTAATAACTCAATTTCGAAGCTTAAAAAATGAAAATGATAAAAAGAAACCTACCGTGAATATGCCTATGGCAGCACGAGTCAGCATGGCTGTTCTAACAAACATGAGCCATAAAGGAAAGTACTGGTAATTTTTTCCATCAAAATTAATAACATCATAAACAGAGAAGATAAGACACCAAAGAACATACTGGTGACGTAAAACAGATGAAGGATTAGGATATAAATTTTTTTAAGCTCCTAAATCCCTAAGAGAAATACAGCCCAACAGACTGATGGGGAAAAGATAAAAATAAGCAATTCACAGAAGACAAATTGCAAGAAAACCAAGCCTAACCTCACTGATGATCAGACACACACAAATTAAGACAAGGATCTATCATTTTTCACTCCCAAAAATCATGTCAAGTGTTGATGAGAATGTGGCATAAAGAACACTTGCACACTGTACAGTCGGAACACCCACATGGAGGGCGGTTTGGCAACAGCTATCAAAATAATATATACTGTAGGACCCAGTAATTCCACTTCTCAGTAACTACTAGAGGGGGGAACATCATGTAATTTGCAAAGAACATGGAAATGTATATCCATTGCAACATTGATAGGACAGGCAAACTGGGACAAAACTCAACATCCATCAATGGGCACACGTGGTGACTCTCTTCTGGAATACTATGCAACAGTCAACAAGAATGATGTAATTCACATGCACTGAGTTAGCAAAACGTCCACACTTATCAGTTGTGTGAAGAAAAAAAATTGGGGGTATGTAAAATATAGAGTATGTTCGATAACTAAAAGGCAATATTGTAAGTATGGAGCAGTACAGTACAAAGCCTGAAAGAACACACACTAAGCTGGTAAAGGG